TTGCTTTCCTCGCTGTTTGTACTGTAAATTCTGTGTTGCATGTCCTTTTTCACTCTTGCAGTATCTTACATTTACAGTTGATATTGATTTTGTTATGAATCACTTTGACTGTGAGGCATTAAAAAATAATGAAAGAAGAAACATGAACTTCTGAGAGTAAACTTTTAAGTGCATTGATTTGTTTTTCCCTGTTTTCAGCTATGAGGTTCCTGAGTGCACCGGTCACGTATCTGGATTTCCCCTTAACTCTTTTTCTGTGACTTTTGGCTTATGTGGTTTAAAAAAAAATGAGAATTAAAAAAAATAAAGAATAGAAAAAAATGTGTATATGAAAATATAATGTTATACCTCACCTTTAAGGGGAAAATCTCTTATCATCCAGAATAATCGATCCTCGCCATCTGAAAGCACAGAGATTTTGGATGCCTTATCTCGTAGGTTCAATCAAGCCTTTATTCCCATCTGAGGCAGCCTACTGTGCACAGTATGTCAAACATGAAAGGGAAGTGAACAAAAGAGACAAATTTGAAAAAGTCAATACTAAACTGTCTACAAGACCTAGTAAAAAACCTTCCTTTATTATTCCCACTTTATCCTGTTGAACAGTAAACTTCAGTATATTTTACAAATTTCTGATAATGCATATCTTTTGCCAGATTTCCACACATAATTATCTAGATACGGTGGCAGGATTATTATTAATCCTGGCTCATATTTACTACAAAGTGCTTCACATGAAATAAAAAGTAAAATTGATGCATAATAAAAGCAAGTAAAAATCTTAAACTTGTGGGTTGAACATTTTTGGTCACACAGTGTGTTCTCTCCAGCTGCACAACAAGCAAATCACACCACGCATTGGCCAATTTCAGCCAGATGTCAGAGAGCTCACAGAACCTCTAGAGATGCATGCTTATCCTAGAAAATACAAGTTTGTACAGTATGGATTAGAGTCTGTGGGATCGGTTATGGCAGGTACTTGCAGGTAAACTTACTTATAGATAGAAGATAAAACTGTACATTGTACTGTATGAATGCCAGAATGTGTATTTGCTGTTTGGACCGTTTGGAAGAGCAAGAAAAAGGCTGATTTACCGGAGGTCTTCTGTGAGTGCAGTGGTATGTGAGCATCAGGCAATGTGCTTGCAAAAGTATCTGCTGAAGCTACAAAAATAAAGCATTTTTTAACACAAAGCAGTTAATGAAAAAAAAAAAGTTTGAGCCTGAGGTTTGAAGCAGGTTTTGATGAAGCTGTAATAGGCTAATACTTTCTACAGGTATCTGCTGGATTTAGAATAGAATTGAATATAATTCAACTTTATTGTCACTACCATGCCACAAGTACAAAGCAACAAAATGTAGTCTGTATCTATCCATTAGTGCTATCCAGGATATAAATAGTGATTTACATGTACACAGAGACTATGTATGTATTGACTATAAATGGTATATATAATCAGAGGGTAATTGTAAGTGAAAGTAAATAAATATGGAAACTATGTACGGATTATACATGAAAGTTGGGATACGGATTATATATATATATA